TTATCGCCAACATCCTCCATTGTTTCCAAGACAATCAGTGCCTAATACAAGGGCCTCGCATGTGGCAGGTAATCTTTGCAGCGTGACTGGCGAATAAGAACCAGTACGCCTGCACCACAAAGCTGCATCGATGTGGCACTGTGTGAGCTGAACCCCAAATGTGGGCATGGCGGCATAAGCTTACCATTTCTTGAGAGCGGGTTGTCTGTGCTTATCACGCTTGGAAGGAGCGGCATTATACAGCGGCTGACCAAAGCGGAAATCCCTTATATATTCATAGATATCTAGGTTACTCAGACCTGAGCATTTCGCCGCATTGTGAAACACTGCAATTAGGGCTCATCTTCGGGTACCACCTGCTTCAGCCTCAGCCTCAGCCTCGCGATGGCGTACCAGCAACTACCCAAATTACAGCACAACGTGGAAGTGACGCCGGTCAACGAGGACTACACTCCGCCTTCGTCCACCCTGCAAAACTATGAAGAGATACGAGACTTCGATTTCAGCCCCACGAGTCCACGTTCGACTGTAAAATCACCTTCTATCAAGAAGCATGTAACGCATTGGAGTTCGTCGACCAACAGCACAGCCGTGACGTCGTCAGAGGTATGTAGCACAAAGTCTGACAGCAAGGCTGGCGCGTCCCGTGCGCGGTCTTGGGCTTTCGAGATCATGGCTGTCGCGATCGGGCTGGGTGCTGTCGCCGCCATTGTCGGCGTGGTAGCCAAATACAATGGACACGCATTGCCAGACTGGCCTTACAGCATAACTTTGAACGCTCTCATTGCCCTGTTGGCTACTTTTGCAAACGCTGCAATGTCGGTTTGCCTGTCGAGTGGACTATCGCAGGCGAAATGGATCCGTTTCAAGCAGACATCGGCTCCATTGTCTGACATGGAGGCCTTCGATGACGCTAGTCGTGGTTCGTGGGGCTCTATCAAACTGCTGGCGACTGCCAGAGGAGGGTAAGTTTCTCAGCTCAAGACATGGTTGACAGATGACTGACGAATGCTTGATCAGATTTCTCGGGTCTTTCGGCGCTATCGTCGCTGTTATAGGTCTCGCCCTTGGACCTTTCGCGCAGCAGATCGCAACTTACAAAATCCGCAACGTGGAAAGTGACTTTGGCGCCATCATGCCTAGAGCCCTCAACTTCACCCCTGCTTTACCGGGTAACACCAGCACGAGTAAGTAGCATCAAGCGCATTTCGATATCGTTCGTTGACGTAGGTTTCTAGCGGGTTTCGTGCCAATTCTCCCACTTAAAGCCGCAGTTTACAACGGCTTGTTCGCGGAGAACAATAGACCTGCTGCGTCACTACCATTCAAGTGCCAGAGTGGTACTTGTACCTGGGAACCCTTCGAGACGCTGGCTGTTTGCCATGAGTGCACAGACATCACTCCGCTCATGACGCGCTACTGTCCACCTGAATTGGGTGCATCGCCAAACATGTCCTCATGCGGATGGCAAGTACCACAAGGAGCTCATCGTAAGTTTCGCATGTGCAAATTGTAAATTGGCGGGTACTTATTGCTTACACTGTTTCTTAGTCAACACGAGCTCCGATGTATTCAGTATGACATCCTTCATCCCGTCGGCGTATGGCGACATGCCCCACTCCACGATAATCCGACTCATCTTCATGGGTACAGAGCTTCAAGATACACCCAACGCTCTGAACCCTTGGGCATCACAATGCAGCCTGCAAGCATGTGCAAATACGCTGTCCGCATCGGTCACAAACGGTACGCACCAAGAGAATGTCACGCACTCTGTTCTCAACCACACTGTCATCGACATGAGCTCCCCCGATCCTGCCGCCGACTATGGTGTTTATATCACTGGCAAGTCCGATGACACTGCGTACTTGCTTGGCATGGAAGCGCTTTTGAGCATACGCGGATGGTTTAGTGCAATCTTTACCAACGGCTCCGCCACCCGTACAACTAGCGATTTCACCCGAAGCGTCACAGACCCAGACCGTGCTGTAGTTGTCAATCTCACAGTCGGTATCTCGTCAGGCGAGACTTTCTTCGACACGGATATTGTCACCGCGTTCTACTGGAACTACTACGAGTACGCCGATGGACTCAATATGCTAATGAGCGACTTGGCTGTATCGATGACAACCGCTTTTCGCGGCTTCAATGGCGCTGTTGATACAAACGGCAAGTCGATAACGGTAGAGTCATATGTTCACATCCGATGGGGTTTTGCTGTCTTACCGATCGCGGCTGTCGTGGCCACTCTGATCTTCTTGCTCGCGACGATGACGATGACGCATACGTCTGGTACGCAAGTGTGGAAAAGCAGTGCGCTTGTCCCGTTGTTACACGGCTTGGATCATCATACTAAGGAGAGGTTCGGTACTAAAGACAGTTTGCCAGCTCAGAAGAGACAGGCAAGAGCGGTAAAGGTCAAATTGTTTACTGATAATCGGGATAGCACAATGCTTGGAGCAGAGAAGGCTGCATGCTAGTTTGAAAGGCGATGGTGATCATGCTTCGATAGGCAAAACAACACCTCACTCAATACAACCTTTGGGTTATACCCTGCTTTCGCGATCAATGTCCTTGCTCTTTCCCCCCTCGCTACTGATCTCACTTTCCGTGTCGCTGAGCAATCCATTCCAAGCATCATCATCGACGCTATCCCTATCGTCTTCTCTTCCAACGTCCTTCTCTACCTTGACGTTTACGAACAACATCCATAATCCAATGTCGTAGGTGATCCTACAAATACTAGTAGCCACGAAGGCCACCCAGAAGTTATCGCTACCGGAGAGGAAGCCGGTGATTGATGGCCCAACGCTCATGGCCAACGTGCGCAGCATACTAGTGATGCCCATGACACCTGTACGCTCTTCAGGCTTCACGACTGCTGCGATGAAAGCTGTACGCGGTGCTTGATCCATGCTATTGAGGGAAGCTCGGAATAGCAGCAGGCCCACTGTCCAACCGACTTTTGAAGGTAAAGGGATGAAGCCGCTGGCGATCGATGATGGGAGGTGGGTGAAGACCATGGTGTTGATGAGACCTATGCGTTTGGCCAATGGTCCGGCGAAGATAGCTCCAACTGCGCAGAGAAACTGCGAAGCCGAGGTAATATCCCCAAGCGTAGACTTTGAGACGTGGAACTTTTGGTCGACGTAGTAGTTCATCAAGGAGTAAGGTGTCATGCCGTCTGCTAGACTGTCAACAGCTAAGAGGATCCAGAGCTTGTACATGACGGATCGTGTACTCTGCGAGATCTGACTAAAGTAGCTTGCTTTCTTTTGCGATGGCGGATTCCTGACACCCGCTGGTCTTCCTACGTGCTCGCGGTCTTGGTCGAAACCGTCCGTGGTGCTGGGTGTCATCGCCTCCAGTAGCACTTCTTCCTCTTCGCCCTGGCCCCCACCACGTCCTCGCTCTTGCATCTCCGCCCGCTTCTCACCTGCAGCCTCGCATCTGCTACTCAGACCCAGACAAAGGATGCTCCCAAGCACCCCGAAGGCTGCATAGCCCCAGAACAGGGCATGGTATGCCTTGGTCACATTACCGCTGCTCTTCTCGAGAGCATTTACCGTTCTCCCTGCGACTTCTGCGCCAATAGCCCCTGCCAATGTTGTCGCTGTGACATACCACGAGAGTACATCGCTTCTTGTTGTCTCGTCTGTTAGGCCACTCAACATGCTCTCCTCGACAGCCCTAAAAGGACCACAGTCAGCACCGGTGACAGAAATGATGCCGAACACCGCCGCAACCAAAAGAATGAAGAAGTTTTCCGACAGCGCAAATGCAACGCCTGAACAAGCCATCATCACACTGCCCATGAACAGAATCCTTCTCCTGCCTATTTTGTCCGCCACGAGAGTAAGCAGCAATGACAATAGGACATCTCCGAGCAATGTCAATGTCATGAAGACCCCAATCCTCGAATCCGGAAATTTGAGCGAGGAGAAGAAGAGGGCGAGAATCAGCGACGGAATGCCGGCCGTGAACATTCTCAACGATCGCAGTGTGATGATGATGTATGCATCTCGTCCAGTCGCGTTGAGAGATGTGATGCCGAGAAACCCAGCGATCCGCAATATCGCCGTGGGAGCCATGGTGGCAATGTTGGACTGTGCCGCGTGTTGGATCAGAGAACGCGAGTTGACGTTTCGTAGGAATGCTAACTCAACATCAAATGCTTATAGATGTCGAGAAGAAAAGATGAAGAGAAACGGAAAAGCACGGAAAAGATCTCATCCTACAAAAGACTGGTGACCACCCGCGTTGCTAGTGTGGGCGTTAAACCCGAGACGGGTTTAAGCTGGGAGGTTGCATCTTGCCTGACTCACCTGTGGCGCTGCCTGCATACGCGCGACTCTATCAGAGCGCGTTCTAGATCATTTTTGAGCGACCTTCACGGCCTTACTACCGACGTTTGCTCTGCTGGTTTGGAGATGCTGCGCGGCCGAGTCTGCCCCGCGGTAAGAGTGGGGCCAGATTTCGTCATCGCCAGGCTCCTGCGCTTTCGATCGCGCGTCGCGTGCCTTCAACAACTTCATTACCAGCGCGATACGTTAAGTGAACGGATCTCAAACCAGTAACATAGCGCTCACGATAGATCTTATTGGTCTTCGAAGGCTTGAGGTTGAGGGAAATGCTTTATTGCAAAGTCACGTTCCCTTATCGTCGCCGTGGGCAATTGTTCGTTACTCGATTAGATGCTCGCCTTCGTCAAGTGAGATAGCATGGTGAAGGTGACTAGTGGAGCTGAGAACGCACGGTGACCGCCGAAGGTGAGAGTACAGGTTGAGTACAACAATCCCTAGATACTATGTTTGCTAGTAAAACAAGACTTTGCAATCCAGCTATTTGAGGTACATTCAGATCCTCCGGGGCTCTCTTTCTATCCTCCATTCGACTAAGCCTACAGCTACCAGGTACTACCAAAATCTTACCAAGTCGGACTGCAATAATCAACAAAAGTACGGTCGACCAGACTACCACCAGCACAACTCGTCCCCAATATGTCTTCCAAGGATATGTCATTCGCAAAGGCATTTGACGAGCTCTTGCCACTCGAGATCAAGCAGATAATCTTCAAATGGGCAGCGAGCGACAACAGCAGCGAGATCCAGATCAGGCTTTTGCACGATAACGGAGACCGGCTTCATGCACCAGCAGTCGACCTGCTCACGAAGTTGAAGGACCAGTACTCAGCCAAGGCGTACAATCAGGCCTTGGAGTATCTTACAGGACCAATTTTTCGGTGGGCCTTCAGCAGCGATACACAGCCACATCGATACCTTCTCCGTGCTTTCCGAAACTCGGTCCCAATGGAAGTTCGACAGCGGATCAAGCATGCCTATCTGCCTCGGGTCACCGTGTATGGTCTCATCAATCCTGCGACTCAGTCCACAAGCTTCGAGAACCTGGGATTGGCGGAACCGTCTATACCGAGGCCCTACTCTGATTACTTCACACGTCTAGGCGCTACGACATCGTCGACATCCTTTGATAGGCTCTTGATAATTATGCAAATCAAGAAGGACATCGCAGGAGGTATGCAGCTGCTACCCATTACGCTGCCTTCGCTCACGAAACTGGATCTCCGTCTCGACATCATTGACTGCTTGCAAAGAAACCCAGAAGACGCCATAAAGTTTGAAGCCACTTGCTTGGTTGATTGGATGAATCTGCTTCAGAGTGGACCGCTTCCGGGTGGGTTTGGAGCACTTGCAAACCTCGTAGGGATCGCCAACCTCGATATTCGCATTATCTGGGATGACTTCCTTGACAAGAAACGGAATTTCGCAGGCAGATGCAGTGGGGAGATTGAGAAAAGGGCCCACGACATGCTTATGGAGGCGTTATGTCTAAGTCTTCCTGCTGCGAGGAGCATTGTCGGCCATTCAGACAGTTCTTTCGTCTGACCGGTAGCCTCTGCTTCACTTGGATGCATTGATCACGGCTTGGAGATCAGGTTTCCCTTCCTTAGCGCCTCACGTGGAGAAATGCGAAATAGGTTACCTGTCTGGCCATCCCAGTTTTACGGACTGCAGGGCGAGATGCGAGCGCTGCAGCAGCTTAGCGGCCGACTGGGGCGGTATACGCCCTACAGTTTGGGTCAGCATTAAGCACCATCTCGGGCATAACTGCGACATTCCCGACGGCCTGCAATTGTGTTCCACTTCGTTGTCACCAGGGGACTCGAGTTAATGAAACATCAGCTAGCAACAGGGAAAGAACAACATGGTTCATTTTCATTTGAAGAGATGAGTGGCACAGCGAAGTATGTAGTTATCTCCAAATGTTCGTAGTTATTGGCCTATAACATACTCCGCGATATGCCAAACCGTCCCATCATATGCAAGCCAACGTCCGGTCTGTGACTTCCCCTCAAATCCAGCTACCCGCCTAGTATCCGTACAAGTTGACACGCTCATTCGTCGACGCCTTGAGCCTCTGGTTCTCCTTGATGAGCATCACGCGAATCGCCCAGGCACAAGCGATCGACAGCAGCGCGAATCCAGCAGATGCACCGAATCCAATTCCGTATCGAGGCTTGTCGGTGTCTGGCCAGAGATAAGCGCCGTAGATGTATCCGATCTGGCCTCCGACGTTCGTCATCGCCAACACGACAGCTTTCTTCTCTTTCGTCTGGCTGAGGGTCGAAGATGCCCAACCGATGATGACGGAGTTGACGGAATAGGCGCCCATGGGGAAAATGAAGCAGGCAACGTATCGGCCCGCCGTGTTCATCGTACTAGCAGCGATGACGAATCCGACAATGGCGACTAGCAGTCCACCAGTGATATGCCAGGTGCGCTCATGCATACGTCCTGAACTCCAGCCTGTAGCGATACCTGCCGCGCCGGCAAGCAGGAAGGGAGGGCAGGTCAGTAGGAGAGTAATTGTCGTGTTGAAACCGAGGGTCTTGATGACACTACCATCATTGTCAGCGAACTTTCCTGTGAGTGTTCGAATGTACTTACGTTGGGAAGAAAGAGTTGAACGAGCAAGCACTGAGATGGAAGTTCTGCATGAGACAGAACAGCCACGTCCTCTTGTCACGGCACGCCTGCCTCAGTCCCTCCATCATGCTGACAGGCTCGGTGGAATCGCCAACTCGGTCACGCTCCATACGTGCATGAGCGAGTTCGCGCTCCCGTGGGTTAAGCCAGCTCGTGGTGAGTGGGGTATTGGGAAGCATGAAGAAACCCCAGATGGCGACCAATGCGGTCACGGCTCCTTCGCTGTTGATGAGTTAGCGCGATGTATGTTCAGGCAAGAGAAGATAGACTTTCATGATGAACAGCCATCGCCATCCCGAGATACCTCTGGCGCCATCCAGTTGGAATACGCCGGCCGCGATCAATCCACTGAAGCCTGTAGCCAGAATCTGCGCACAGTATAGCAACGCGATACGTGTCGCCACTTCCTTCCTGGTGTAGAAGATTGAGAGCATGTACGTCGCTCCGGGGTAGAAGGGTGCCTCAGTAATACCCAGGAAGAACCGACATGCGACCAGTCCGCCGAAGTTCTGAACCAGCGCTGTGCAAGCTGATACGATGGCCCAGATGAACATCCAACTGCTCATGTAGATACCGGGACGTATCCTTGTTATAAGCATGTTACTAGGAATTTGCATAAGCACATATCCCACGAAGAGACTGCAAGAAGGTTAGCCTGTTCGTCACTATTGCTTCTCGAGTACGAGCGAGTTTCCGTGTAATACTAACATGCTAACACAAGTGTTGAACTGGACGCCAGACATTCCTAAATCCTCTTCGAGATTGTTCAACCGCGCCTGGGCGATGGCATTACGATCAACGTAGTTGAGGAAGTACATGACACATAATGTTGGCTGCGATAACATTAGCAGCCGTGTCTAGATCTACCATTGCAATACGTACCATCAATCTCCAGTCAATCTTCCTTACGAGCGCAATCTCTTCTGGGTCTGTCTTCGCCTCTGCGCCGGTATAGTCCACAGCACCAGCATGCTTATCTGGACCAAGCTCACTCTTGTCTTCCAAGTGCGCCACGATCGTGGGCTTCTCGTCTGTCGGCTCGACTACGGGTTGGCGTTTTGTATCCATTTTGGCTGAAACTTTCGAGCGTCTCTCTCGAAAAGGTCAACAGGTAGAACGTGCCGGCATGCAGAGGGCATGCGCTTTCCTTTTGAATGCATGATGGGTGGCATGGTATGTTCACACGCATGTTCCAATCAACTGCTTGGCGTGGTATTGGCACAGGATCTCACCAAGACTTTTCCCCGCACCGTGCTACAATATAGCAAACATGCGCGCTCCGCTTGTTCAGCCACTAAGCTTGGCCTGCAGATCTTATCGTAATATACGGTCAGAATGAACACTATCCAAGACTTCTCGGTCGCATTTTTGACGCCGATCAGCAGATTGTGGGTGGGATTCCTGGTTCTAGGTTCGCAAGCGGCGCCCTTTGGCTGGGAATCTGGGGAAGAACTGGAGCCGACAACGTGCTTTTTGTGGAGAGATAGCGAACTATTGGCGGCGTTGTTGTGCGCTGTCGCATAATGTGTTCCGTTGGCGGCTGGCGGTAAGTTCTCCAGCTGGGAGGTCATACCGGTCGGAAGCGGTGCAACGGTTGGCGGACGTCACGCGATCGCATGTCCCCGTGGTTCGCGGGACTTGCTTTTGTCACGTTGCAGAACATCTGAGCTCCGAATGCGCGCAAACGTAGTATTCTGGTATATAGCCCATCAATCAACTGAACAACGTGCGTTACCTTACTCGTGTAGATGCCCCCGTCTATCCAGGACTCTAGGTGTCACCCCAATTACCCGGAGGTTGATAAGTCACCGTCCCATTCCGCTCCTAACAAATACGGCCGAACTTATACTCTACCTGCCCGTTTCTAATTGCCGGAAAGACGCCAGCGTCGATAAGTCGGAATGCGTCCCATTCAGCCGCACCCTCCGTCTTGAAGTTCCACCAGAACCAGCCCTGAGTCTTGCTCTCGAAAGCGGCGATCTGGGCTTCAATGTAACGTCGGCTGTCGTCCTTGTAGGAGGCTGACCACCGTGATAGGTCGTTTTGCCAATCGCAAGATCCAATCCTGGAGCTGCCTGGGAGGGTTCCATCGTAGCGGGCGCCACGGTCGAAGCCGTTGAGGTACTTTGCGCAATCCCTAGTACACGTTAGTAGACGTCTCATAAACTGTAAGAATGCGGACTGCTCACGTCATAGCCGATGTCCACTCGCCAACAAACGTCCATTTGTCCGCACCGCCGATAGTCTGAGAGTTGCTGCAAGCGTAGCGTGCGTGGTCCATAGGTGACATGCGGAGGAGATTGCTGTCAAACACTTGATATTCGTGGTGGTCAACCGCGACGTTCACCGCGTTCGCATCCGAAGGAGTAAGGAAGGCGTTCCATGTGTTCGGAGGCTTGAACCCGTCGTGAATGATGACTGGGGTGTCGGAAACCTCACGAACCTGACCGTAACCATCGCGATAGAACTGCCTGGTCACGTCTTCGCTGATGCCAGTGTACAATGCGGGCTCGTTGAGCAGTTGGATACCGACAACGACGTCCTGATACTCAGTCCGAGCATACTTTTGCGAGATTGTCCGTAGAACTTGGACAGTCTGCTTTACGGTGTCGCCGCGTTGCCATCCAGGGTAGTCCATTCGTTGGCCGGAGTTGTCGAATCCGTTTTGAGAGCCTGGTGCACCATGGAGGTCGATGATGATCTTCAGCCCCAGACTTCGAGACCAGTCGATGGCAGCGTCGATGTAGACACTCGCACCGCTGACATACGGTGTACCAAAAGTGTCGTATGCCCAGAACCCGATGGGGATACGAACGACATTGAAGCCTGACTGCTTGATCTTGTTGAAGTCGTGCCATGATACGAACGAGTCCCAGTGCTTCCGTAGAATGCTTCCCGCCGCATCTCTGCCAAGCTTCTCGCCCAATGTGTATTCGTCAACGATGTCCCTCTGCGGACGGCCTTGATTCGCTCCATCAAAGATAGAAGGCGTAATCCAACTGCGTAGAGATAGTTAGCAACACAACTGGGTGGCGATTGGTGACGAAGACCTTCGGGAATACGTACGGTTCTAAGACCAACCATCCACCAATGTTAACACCACGAATCTTGTCAGACCCCCACTTGAAGTCGACACCGCGCTTCTCTCTTTAGATGGGTTAGCGGTTGCGTCATATGTGCGTTGGGACGAAAGGAGTGTCGAATGCGGAAGTGACTGCTCTATCACCGGAAAAGGAAAGACGTTCTCTTCCGCATCGTGCGCGTGACTTACGTTGGAGCTGCAATCGTGGCGGCGCATAGCGATAACGCAGTAAGTGCACGACTGATAATCATGTTGTCGGGTAGTATTGTTGGAAATCAAGGGTAGCAGTACGGGCTCTGAAGATGCGGTGGCGCTCAATCCAAATAAGATGTGATGGTATGTCTGTAGATGGGACCAAGTGAGTGCATTTAACAAGTTGCCGAGCGAACACTGTGGATGCGGCCAAGGTGGAGTTTGCGCGCTTTCCTGGAGGCAGCGAACTCGATGGAGTCGCGACTGCTGTGTTATGGCCATGTGACGGATATCCTCTAGTCCGAACTGGGCATCTAAGTTGGTAAGCCCACGGGTCTCCTGGGTTGTGATTGGTGTTGGACCCTCCGATCTAACTGGAAACGTAATCTGGGGGATTGTAGTGAACGTCTTCCCCCGGAGACGCGGATCGGGACAGAAAGCTACATGGATGACGACGCGGTCAGGAGGCGGGTTTGCTCAGCACGCCGAGGCGCATGTGACCCATTCACACGAATGAACGACCTACATTGCACTCAGATTCTGGTAGCGATGAACATTCTAAACTAGACATCTTGTAGTGCATACTCGCACATGAAATGTGACTGCCGTGGAGAAGCCTGAAGTAGAAAAATTTGCCGTGGAGTGATCATCAGCCATGGTGAAATTTGTAGCGGTGTGGGTAGTTGCTTGATTCTGAAACACCTGATCAAGTTGGACCCCTTCTAACGCACCAAGCGGCTTGTGGGATGCGAGCCTAAAGCGTTCGGAGTAAAGTTAGTACCGTGTGTTAGTACTCAGAGAGGCTGTTCCTGACGATCTTGGAACCTAAGATGCGTGGCATGGACCATCTGACCCCAGATCTGCAGACTAATCTTTTGGCAACCTATTACATCGTCGAAGGGGAATCGCAACACGCTCGCCTATCTCCATGCGTTGTTCCAGGCCGTCAGAGGGAACCTGTTGTCAAGCGGGGTTGCGGTGTTTGCTCCGCGCCTCCTATGTCTACTTCTCGGTGCATGACGTAGTGATGGCATTGTATAAGGCTCTCATTAGTGTTCTGATGCCAATGAACTCTGTTGCTGCAACTGCACTGGCGGTGCAAATCTTGGAAAGAGAGTTATAAAAGGGGTTTGATTGCACGCAGCATGCATCTTCCGGGTGAAGTGGCGATTGTACCTGGACGTGCAGTGATAGATTGGCCGGAGATGATGCAGGAGCAAATGCCATCGCCACATAGGAGAGATGGAACCCTATTTCGAAGACCCAATGAGGCGCTTGACAGCGAGATGCCGATGTAGCGATGCAGGCGGTGGCGAGCGGAGATGGACGTGTGGTGGAAGACAGAAGGGAGAGTGCGATCAAGGTGTGGCGTGGCGCCTCCCGGCCAGTTGCAGGGTCCAGGCGTCGGGCAACAATGGCAGTGGGGACGAAGCCGAGGCAATGACGCCATGTATCACGACTCACAACCTGCAGAGTGCAACCGACTAGATGTCTGTGTATGCGGCCGATGTTCGGAGAGACTATTCTATCGACCGTGTCTAGTTCTTTGCTAGCACCCATCCGCCCAGCCAGAGAAAACCCGGGACGGCAGTGACAGCAGACAGCGCGCCCAAGACGGCCGCCATAGTCCCCCAGCCGCTGTCCTCCACAAGAAACCCGGCCAACAGAGGTCCCGCCATGCAGCCGGCAGCGAACGCGGAGTTGTATAGTGCGTAAGCCTGCGCAAATGCACCGCCTTTGCCGAATCCTGGGCGTCCATCTGCGATCATCTTTCTTTCCTTGGCCTCAGCGACAGCCGATACCTCTGCCATGACCGGCGCGAACGTCATGCCGACAAAGAGCCCCGTGACCGCAAGTAACGCGCATAGCAGCACCTTGTCCTTCATCGTGTTCTCATCGACAAACCGGAGGCAGACGAGGGGAGGGCAACCCCCAAGAAAGCCCACGACAACCACATAGCGCCCTCCATATGTGTCACTCAACCAGCCCCACAACGGCGAGAGGAAACTCGGTATGACGATCGGAAGGAAAAGAAGTGCAGCGCCTGTCGAGGACCAGTTGAATGTGTTGGCGGCGTGGATGGCGAGGACAGAGTCGAAGGCTGTCAACAATGTTGCTTGAATGAGCGCACAGAATAGCGAAGCAAGCAGGCGTCGGGAATACAAGAGTGAAAGCACTGGAGGAAGCCGATCGCGCACACGTTGCCGAGGCGGACTTTCTTGTTGCGCTTCAGCAGACGCCGCGTCTCGCTGAGTTGTCGTCCTGGTAAGACCTAAGCTGTCGCTTCGACTTGCGATGGCGATGGAGCCTAATTCTTTGTCCTCTGAAGATGCGTCTCCCTCATCAGATGAGCGTCCCATGACCGTTGCGTCCCATCTCGCAGCCACCTTCTTCTCCACGAGCAACAGTCTGAGAATCACATCCAAGCCGACTAATGCATAGCACATGCCGAAGACGGCATTATAACCAGCCTTGTCATAGACTATGCCACCGAGTAGAGGCGATATGAGCATTCCGATAGACATGCCTATGGTCAGCCACCCAGCAGCAGTTGCGAGTCGTTCCTGGGGAACCGTATCAGCCAACAAGGCCAGGCCAACGACCCATACCACAGCTGCCGAAGCCCCCTGCAGGAGCCTTCCGACAATCAAAGCTCCAGTCGAGTTGCCAAGGTTCAGCAGGATTGTAGCTCCTAGGAGAACGAACAAGCCCATCAGAAGAGGAAAGCGACGCGTCGACCCGCGGTCCGCAAGCCATCCGCATATGGGCGAGAATGCAAGAAGAGCAGCGCCATATACAGCAACCAGTACCGAGACCCAGTATTGAACTTGGTCCTCCTCAATGTGACTACGCGAACGTATTGCGAATGGGATGACGGGTACAATGACGCCGTACAGAAACATGTCCTTCTTGAATCAGCTCTTGTTCTGCACCTAGCTACACCCGGATTAAAGACTTACTGTGAAGACGGCCAAAGACACAGTCCCGATAATGAAGGCATCCGAGCTTCTAACTTTGAGCATAACCGGTGGTTTGGATCCATGCTGCGTCAATGACGACAGCCATGAGGAAGTCGACATGCTGTTCTGTACTGCTATTGCTTGAGGCGCCGCGGAATCTATTTGTACAACAGTTCCCCTATGAGGACCCGGAGCAGTACCACGGTTCTCATGCGGCCCCTCATCTAAACGATCGTCCATGGATGCGAAGATTGCGGTACGACGATCACGTCCACACCATGCGTATTTATCCTCTCTGCTCTATCACTGACTATCAGCAATGCATATTGCTGCAATTCAAAAGATTGCAGGTCGATGATGGACGATGTGATGCGATGCAATGCAGTATTCGTGGCGTGTGTGTTGGTGCTCATGCAACGGCTCTCTTCGTGGCGTGATCCCAGCCTCGTTTTTGCCGCGGCCTTGACTAGCGTATTGCCTGCATGGGACCCCCCACCTCGAGACCTCTTCTCTACAAGCAGGACTCCAACTGTCTCGTCGCCCATATGGTGTCATTCAATTGCACTACCAACTGGCCTTTACTTTTCCATGAACGAGTAATGTCCGGCCATGTGTCGAATATCGTGGCAGCCACGGGAGAGCCATATCGCGCCACGTGCCTCAGGTGTGCGGAAGATAGATCATGCCGATGGAGAACGGACTGCAAGGTCATTTGCTCCGGACCAATCTACGAATGATTGCGATGCTTTTGCTGGTAGAGTGCCGACTCGTCTTGGAGCGCGTGTGAGCAGCCATGATGAACTGACCAGACTAGTCAGCGATGCAAGCGCAGGTTCATCGTATTGCCAGCTGGCACGTAGCGTATCTGTTGCGATGTGCGATACAAAACCTGCTTCTTTTGTCTTCATACTGGAAGACATGTGCTGGAGGAGCTTGAACCCCGTTAGAATGCTGGGGTGGACGTACCGCGACATTTCAGTCTCAGCCTCGCCAAGTGGGCATTTCTCTTGCCATTATATATCAATTTCCCGCACTCGGCATTGTCGGCATACTAAGCCTGGCGATATGATTCATGACATCACCGTTAGTCGGTTTCTTTGCTTCTTTCTGATCTCCTATCTGTATTGCCATCACAAGTCGCCGAACCTTTCCACCAACAGTCTTGCTTATTCCATCGGCACATCTTGAAAGCATGTACTTTGGCCCTGCCTTTGTGAATGTCTACCTGTGTTCTGTGATCTTCAATTAGGGGTGGTAACCAGACAGAATGCCTTCACGGTGACTAAAAGGATGCGTTGCGATAAAAGTTGGTCACCTCCCGGATTGCCTGGTCAAGCACTCACGTTCTTTCCTTAGCTGTCTCATATACATCGGACGTTTCTAGAAGGAAACATGGAAAGCAGCGCTCTGTAGTCGGGCGGTTTCATGAGTTAACTACCGACTTCACTTTCTACCGGTTCCATCTGTACCTAGCATTACCACCCGATCTCATGTACGCTCGAGGATCAAATGCCCATCCCCGTCAAAGAAGTACGAAACGAATGACTGGTAAGACTACATTGTCGTAAGAACTTGCAGACTTGCGTTTAGATAGTAACGACGATTTCAGCGCGCATGTTCATTTTACCCTTATATGAGGTGCGTTTTCGTAGAGGCCGGCCGAATTTGACTACCATGCTGATGGACCCAGCTCATCATTTTTACGAGCCATGCGATAGCTCTTCTACTCTAATTCACACCTCTCTCTTGGAGGCCCCTCATGGGAAGCGGGCTTGCCACCGTTATCTCATTGGTATTATGGGAGTTGTGAGTGACTCGTCGTCTACGGGTTGTCGCAGTACCGTGGTTATTCACTTGAAACTCCACTATTACGTCATATTGTGGCAGCCTGGACCTGCACTCGCTTCTCCTGTCTGAGAAAAGAAGGACATTAACGCACAGACACAGATGACCCTTGCTCACGCAGAGCCGCAGCAAACTGTCGCGTACAGCAACTCGTCCACTAAACCCTGACGCTCAACTCCCACGCCTCCAACAAGATGGTACGATTCAACCCTGCCACGCCTGTTCTAAGCACATGCGCACATCCCGTACCGACCACTCTTGCTTCCAGGCTCCCATCGCCGCAGCTCTGCCCATCATGCATGATAATTTCCCAAGCCCGAGACATCGAGGCTGTACAGGAACAGTTTGAATTGCGCGGTGGTCTTTTCCAGTCCAAAGAAGGCGGCAAAGGCGACCATGCGAGCCCTGGCCACAAGGCCGTCAGAAGAAACTGGCGCAGGGCAAAAATTGCACTGACCAATACTGTGGAATTGTTCGAAGACTTACTCAACGACACAAGTGTGCCAGTCCAGGACCTGACCAAGCTGAGAGAAGCGCTCAATATATGGAACTACAAGAAGGTCTTGCTGGGTAGAGTGCCGGGTCTAAGATACGTTGACGGTGCAGAAGAGGGAGAGCCGACCGAGTTGGAGAAGGAGGGCGCGCGTTTGTTGATGAAATGGTTGAGGATGGTGATCGAGAAAGAGATGGAAGAAGAGTGGAGAGACGAGGTAACATCCGTGTCCGCAACAGGATTGAACGAACCGCAGCAGGTGCTCACGATGCCGGAGTCAACTGAATTGGATCCGTTAGTGGAAGCTTTGCGCAGTCAGCCACCGGAGGCTCAGTGGATTTCAGCACCGGAACCGAAACCGAAAGAAAGTTTAGACGCATATCCCACAGCCACAGCAATAACTGCGACCCCGCTGGCATCCGAGCATAACTCCGCGGTCCCAAAATCGATCCTCAAGCGCCTACGCACTCGCACCATTCCAGGCAGCCAATCCGCCTCACCATCGCCTAAACGGGTCCGCACAACAGATTTGGTGACTATATCACCCGAGCATCATTACGTCGTCAATCCCTCGCCCTTTCAGCCGCTCTCTCGCACAGCAGTCGTGCTACCCCACGCCGACCACACACTTGCCGAAAACCATCGCGCGCGACCTAAGTTCCATCGCACAACTCCAGCCTACACACCCGGCGTATGGGCATCGGATGCTTTCAGCGAAAAGGTGAATACTAGTTTCCTTAGCATGTCGCGCGAGGATATGGAGAAGCAGTACGATGAGGATTCAGCAGAACAAGAGCAGGAGCAGATGTTGGCGGAAAAGCTGAAGGAGACGAGCAGAGGCTGGGTGGCGCTTTGGTGGGCGAACAAGGTCGCTCCGCACTTGGACCTGGAGAAGCTGAAGATGGAAATGCTAGCACGAAGTGGGGAGACGGAAGTGAGGTAGACCACCGCACTCGGTGTGCGAGAGTGTGCGAAGCTCTAGGCCGTGATTGCCGCTACGAAATCGAGGATTCGACCTTAACAATAACACTAGGGTGTCAGACTACTTGGATCGGGGTGAGCATTCTGGGAACTGTTTGAGACGCTTGTATACCCCTAGACATGATGAGTACGGGCGCGCGGTATTGACCGGTTTCTGGGGATCCGGTGCGCCTTCCAAGGTCTGCTTTCTTTTCGTTTAGATGACCTGGGGAGCGAAGCCGCCTAGCATTCGTTTCACATGCGAAAGCTCATAAAGCTGTCGAAGGATCGCTGGTGATGGAAGCGACATGTGATTCCAAGCATGAGCGAGGGAGCGCCATAGCGCCGTGTTGGACGCAAAGCTGGGGCGAGAAGATGGGGCAACGCGTCGTCGCGTCAGGCGTTCCTGCCGTAGCGCGAACACCCCAGTCGGGAAGATCTCCGCAGCTACGTCACAATGGCTTTTCTAGAAACCTTAAATATAAATACTTCCTCTCCATAATACATGCATCTCTATTGTAGCTGAGGCCACGACCTGAATCAACATCAATATGCCTGCTACACAACCCAGCGCGAATACAGGTGAGTTCATGGACGCCTCCAGCTAGCTTATTGTGACGCTCTAACCGATTCCACTAGCGCAGGAACGGAGCCGAGAGGAGAACAGCGAAGTGGAACTGGGAACAGAATCGGAAGCTGAGAGCTCAGGCGCAGAGGACACCGACGAAGAAGACCCCGAAGCGCTGCTCGAAGAAGTGAAAGCAGATCAAGCTAAAGAAGAAGAAAAAGTCAAGGCCGCCGCCGAAAAGCTTGGGGACGCAGAGCGCAAAGTAGGTGACATACGCGGAAAGTGGCATCTCTACTCCGCGCAATGGGTGGAAGACTATGCAAGCAAGGATGGCCAAGATCTCGAAGATAACGACTGGACCGACGGTGTGGGAAGCATCGAGTTTGGAAAGCACCTCATCGTCGAAGATTTTGGTCCCTATGCTGGCAATATGGGCATGCAACTCGAAATCTGGGGTGGGCCTGTAGACGCCCATGCGACCACGTTCAACAAACCGAAATATACATCCACGCTTCCCGAAAGCGTCCAGCTCTTCGATGAGGGTGAAGAAGACCAGATCTACGTCGAACTCAGGTTTCTCGGAGATGGCTACTTGGAGTTGCACATGGATGGTATCTACTTTGCTGGGATTCTGGTCCAAGATCGGAAAGCTGTGAAGCGCGCAGCCGAGGAATTCGATGACGAGTGGCGGAATTGCAAATATACCAGGCATACGCACCCGTCGAATATGCTGGCGGCGTTTGGAATGCCCGTTGACTTGGAAGACTCTGATTCTGGGAGCTTTGACGAGAGCGACGATGAGGACGATGACGAAGATGGAGAATGAGAAAGCATGCGATCTCCGAATCTGTATACACTTCAACCTTGCCATCTACGACTTTGTAATATATCCTTCTGGTTTTGCAGTGCGAGGATCTCTGATAGTGAATTCGACGTGTGATGACGACGTGGCGTCGGGCCGAACCCAATGCACTACTCTTGGTAGACCAAATACAATGCAACGCGTCTCGGCGCGACCCTCAACCCGACCTTGAGCATCACAGATTATCTCTCTCCACCAACGAATCTACTTCTTCCATCTGCGCATAGACCTGCATAGGCGAAGAATCGAACCGTAATCCGCTCCCTGGCGTGTCAAAACCAGAAGAGCTTTGTTCCGTCTCGGCATGGCGACGCAGCATAATCACGACGATCCGAGAGGGTTTGGCATGCATAGTGGTAAGGTGCCACGACTCTTGTTGAGATGAAAGCTTACACACTCTAAAAGAGACGCCGGTTGTAACGAACGAAGAAGAGTGCGAAGATGAAGAAACAGAAACGGACGAGGAAGAGGAATACTACGTATATCATCAAGAAGTTGCTGCCGAACACATGACCAAAGCAACCCGTTTCGAGGATCAAGCACAAGCTCTCAAGGAAAGACTACAAAATGGCGAGAAGATACCTCTGGGAGATATCAGCGGCAACTATACGCTTTACTCGTCTCAACATTTGGACATATATGCTCGAAACCCAGACCAGTGGTGGGAAAGGAGAGATAACATCGATGACTGGGAAGCCGGAAGCCTGAAAATCGGTAGGCAATACTTAGAGCCATTGTTGCCTAAAGGTGATAAAGAAATTGGTATCAAGCTCGATCTCATGGACGAACCGGAAGACGGGTTTTGGATGGACATCAGGAGCCCTCCGCAGTTCGCGTCACAAGACCCAGCTGGAACGTTTGCCTATGGCACTGTGGATGAGGCTGCCTTTGATTGTCAACTCATGTTCTTGGGTGAGGGTGTGTTGGAGCTCTGCTTTCCAGGCAAAAAATTGAGGTGCAAAGGATTGCCTGACTATGTGCGTTACGTTGGTGTCTGGGGTGCGATGGACGACTCGGATGAAGATTTTGATTATGATTCGGAACCTTTTGGATACTGAGCAAGAACGATGATAAGCCGGGGACTTGTTGCTGTGCTATTGGTAACTGCAAGAGCGAACAAGACCTTGCCGAAACGTATGGTTACCAGCATAGCGAAGTCCCGAATAGAAGAACTCGACGATGAGCCTTCAATGGCGTATTTTCATTAGCAACAAAGATCTTGTCATCGCGACGTATTCAAATCATTATCCCGCTCCCATTCTCAACGGCATCCCAGCGCCTATCTCAGCGGCCGTCCGTCTGTGACCTCTCCGTACGTCGGATCGTCGTACTCTCCAAAGCAAGCGAAGTCGTAATCCGCAAGCTCAATCTGCTTTTGCTGGATCTTCAGGAATGTCTCCATCTCGCACCATCCGTCGTCTCTATCACCACATTCCTTGTGACTACGACCCAGTGGAATAGTCCTCTGGTTGAGAATGAAATGAACGTAGCTCGTCGGCGGCCCGTCAAGATATATCTTCTCGTCCGTTCGGTTAGGGTTGACGGGCGCAGGTGCTTTGATGAGTTCGATGTCGAGACGACCAGCGAACGGCTGGAGATGCGAGAGGATGAATTCGCGGGGCGTCTTGATGTGGGTCGTGGGAAGTACTTCGCTGAACTGCGTGATGCCGAATGCAACGAGAATACTGATGATACCGGCGTCGTGGCTAAAGTCTAGGTTCAGGTTTTGATCGATGGGAAAGGTGACCGTGTTATTGTCAAGGGTCACGTTTATTTGGGCAGAAGGGGAGGTGATAACGTGGTGCTGCATGCGGGCGAGGACTTCCTCCACGTAGCCTGTGCAGTATTAGTATAGTGAGGTAGAAGAGGCATCGTCAATCCTTACCGATTCCAATAGCACGACCGACTGAAGAGCCAAATCCTGTGCCTGCCTGGAATGAAAGATCCAGGGCGTACTCGTAGCCCTCCCACTCTTCGTAGGTAAACAGGCCGCACCAGTGAGAGAAGCCAAGCGAAATTGTCTCGTACGAACACAAAGCTTGAGCGTTGTACGTATCGGTGATTGTCCAGTCAAGGTCACCGGTGATATTGCTTCTGAACCTCTGATGAGCATCATGAAGGTACACGCCGATCCATTCCATGAGCCCTTGTCGCGCCGTCGGCCAACTCGAATGGTTGCACTGCTTGTAGCCAGCAAGCGTATTGTTAAAGCCAGGCGCCTCAATTGCCAGCTCAAGCGTCGCATTTTGCGCCCAGCCTAGACCAAAGAAGCCCGCAAGGAAGTACTCCGCCGACTCGGTCATGCGTCGTTGGGTCGTACTCCGGACGATAACTTTGCTTCCGTTGTTGGGATATAAATGGCCATACTGGTAGTAGTGCAGAGTACCAGAAGTAAATAGCTCTTGCTTGCCATTGGGAACGAGGATCTCAGCACCCAGTAGGAACTGCCAATCGTTGAGGAACGAAAGGGGTCCGTGACCTGTGAATTTGCCAGCCGCGTCCGTGAGCTTCTTCCCTAGAGTCCGCTCTGCAGCTTCACCACTGACTTCGGGGTACCGACTTCCATGGCGATGGACCATGTTGAGCCATGTTACGTTGGTGCCAGGCGGTATAGAGTATTCGTTTACTCCGAAGCCTCGGGGATTAGGAAAGTAAGGGCTGATGTTTGCCATACTTTGGAATATGTTCTTGTTTTCCGCATTGCCAGCAATGGGGATTTGTGTTTCCAGAGGCGTATTTGGAATGTATGACACGCCGGCAAAAGGTGCTAGGTTTGTCTGCGCCATGAACGGTGCAGCGCCCGTCTTGGTAGGACCTTGGAAGTGTCCATCGTCCGTGACAAAGTAGTCTGGAACAGATGACTTTGTTGGTATTGCTGTGCTATTGTTAGTTGCTGCTTCAATCTGCTGGCCTAACCAGTAAGATTAGGGAGTACCGACACTTCACATCCTGTTCGCCTTGAAGAGGTACTTGAGCCCCAGATCGACCTGTTCATAATTAGTGACTGTTAATATAAGCCACAGCGACAGTAGGTGGCTAGTGGATGAGGCGTACGCACCGAGATTGGCCGGGCTAAACGAGTTGAGGAGCTGCAGCGAGAGCTCGAGGATGCCGTGCATGGTGGGGTAGCTGCGAGCTCTTACTCAGCAACGTGCAAAGTCCAGGTCTAATGAGGTAGGTGCGATGGACGTTCTGCAAACAAATCACCGCTTCACTACACGTCGCTGTCGCTACACTGGAGTTTTCGCGTCCAGATTGTTAAGAGACAGCTTGAGCTTGGGCCAGGCGTTGGAGTTGGCAGTGACGCAATGCCGAGGGCTGTCCAACACGGTATCCTGGACCATATCGCCCACATGGGCGTTTCGCATTCCGCTCACGCTCGAGAGTTGAGAAGTGTGTACTGCGGACGAACTGTTCTTCGTGCACCATGGTCATCTTTTGACTCATCACGCATAGGATACAAAAAGATGAATGCATGCGCCGTCGTGTACAACAGCATAGCCGCGAACAGCTGGGACGCATGGCAACTGATTGTTCCTGACTTTAAATCGCA